AATCTGGCCATAGACCGTGCCGGAAGGGGGACGGCTGTGCCCCTCTGCCAGCCCTGGGGCTTAGGTTCTGCCCACGGGCACCGTGTCAGGAAGCCAGCGTGGGTGGAGGGTGTGTGGTGGGAAATGGGTGAGCCCAGCCCTGGTGAGAGCCCCGGGATGGCCGTCCCACACCTGCCAGCCCGGCCGCCCCGTGCGTGCAGTGGCTCAGGTGACCCAGGGCAGCGGGCTGGGGTCGCAGCCTATGAGTTCCCAGCACCTGGCGGGGGCTTCTTACACAGCAGTATGTGATCACCTTGGAATTCATGGGAAGATGGAGGTAAGAAGTGCAGTTTTTATCTGCGAGGCACGCACGCAGAGACCACTCTCATCTGGCTCTGTCCTGAATGCCCGCAGCAGGCAGGGCTGGGGCCCCCATCCAGGTCTCCCACGTGAGCGGCCGGAACCCAACTCCGGAGCCTTCATCGCTGCCTCCCAGGGAGCATTAGCAGGAGGCTGGGGGAGGGGCACGTCTTAGCCGCTGGCTTCCCCGTTGTGTCGAGCGCCGGCCACAGCTCGCCTTTTAATTCCGTTTTCCACAGGCTTCCTGGGTGCCCGTGTGTGTAGCCGACGCAGCAGCTCAGTCGCCTTGCATTCCTGCATTTTAGTTTTGCTGTGTGAATCTGTGTTGTTGCATCGCATGTCTTTGACAGAACACTCAGCAAAATCGCTAGCAGATGCTGCCAGCCCCAGACAGCCACGTGCATTTTCCCTTTTTCTCTGTCAGCGAGGTGATTGACACCGATCCTGAAACACGTGCGCCTGGCCACGGCGTCCTCTCCTTTAGCTGAAAACGTGCACGTTCGATCGCCAACGCTGAGTGGTGCTCTCTTCGCCGGCTTCCCTGTGTTACCCAGCTCGGTCCTCGTGGTAGCGGCAGGAGACTTGCACTTGTGGCTTGTTCCCCTGTTACGGGGGAGGAGCGTGAGTGCGGGGGGGGTGCGAGTTGTCTGCACTGTCCCTGCTGCAAAGCTGTCGCCAGCTGCTGAGCCTGGTGTGCTGACCGTGGCCCTGTGTCCCAGCAGGGAGCTGCTGCAGCCCCATGCGTCCACTCCTCGGCCGTGAGACAGTGTGGGCTTGGCCGGCTGTGGCTGGTTCTCTCCCAGCCTCAGGAGCAGCCTTGCCTGCACAGGTCCTCCCTCCCCTTTGGCCTGTGGAGGCCCAGGGATCCTGCCATGGCTCAGTGGCTGGCCCTGGCGCCCAGTGGGTGCTGCATTGGGCACGCCCCCTCGTGGTTGGCAGGGGTCGTGGAGCAAAGGGGTCCATTGGCAAAGGCTCCTGGCCCTGGATTTCTGTCTGCATTTTGTTGAAGCCCCAGGGAGCTGTTCCCTTAACCTGCAGGGCATTAGCACTGTCTTGGACCCGGGTTCCCTGCTAGGGGAGAGGCAGAGATGCCCTTGGAGTGCCTGTGGTGGAGAATGCTGACCTCAGGCCGGCGCCGCGGCTCACTAGGCTAATCCTCCGCCTAGCGGCGCCGGCACACCGGGTTCTAGTCCTGGTCGGGGCGCCGGATTCTGTCCCAGTTGCCCCTCTTCCAGGCCAGCTCTCTGCTGTGGCCCGGGAGTGCAGTGGAGGATGGCCCAAGTGCTTGGGCCCTGCACCCACATGGGAGACCAGGATAAGCACCTGGCTCCTGCCATCGGATCAGCGCGGTGCGCCGGCCGCAGCGCGCCGGCCGCGGCGGCCATTGGAGGGTGAACCAACGGCAAAGGAAGACCTTTCTCTCTGTCTCTCTCTCTCACTGTCCACTCTGCCTGTCAAAAAATTAAAAAAAAAAAAGAGAGAATGGTGACCTCTGTCCTCGCTGAGCCAGGGGCCCGCTGTCCCTCTCTCCCTGCCACACTTGGAGGAGGCTCCTAATGAGAACTTGCTTGTGGGGGTGTGGGGGGCCTCGGTGTCACTGGCTTCCTGGGTTGCCATGGGAATCTGCCGTAGATGACATGATGTCTTCCCCACCAGAAAATATTGATGGGATGTCCAAGCCCTCAGTGTCCCCCCACCGTCCCTGCCTGGCGAGGAAGTGTGGGGACACGGAGCACGCCTGCCCTGTCCCTCACTTCCCCACGCTGGGGGCTTTGCGTTGCAGCTGCTGTCGCAGGGTCACGGTCAATCTGGTCAGGGGAGGCTCTGTAGGCAGGGGTGGGGGCTCACCAGGACCCCATAGCCCTGCCCAAGGTCCAGCTCGTAGGAGGCCTGGGGTGACCGCCCACACTTGCCCCAGCCCGCCTGCCCCACACACTTGCCCTGGCCGCCTCCTCCACACTTGTCCTGGCCCACCTTCCCCGCACGCTTGCCCCAGCCTGCCTGGAGCCTACTTGGACACACTGGCTCCCTGGGCGCCCGGCTCGACCCTTTGACCCTTGGCCTTTTGGGCACTGACTTCTTGCTGCCTATCCTTTGAGTCGTCGGTCCCTGGTTGTGTGGGGTGCGCCCGGGGTCTGCCCCCCGAAACCTCCAGGCTCCTAGAGGGCAGGGTGAGAGGAATTAGCTGTCCTGGCCTGGTCTGTGCTGTTCTGACAAGTCACCTGTGGCTGGGGCCTTATGATGTCCAGGGGCTTATTGGGCTCACGGTCTCCTGGTGGCGCCCGTGTCCCGGCTGAGCACTGGAAGGAAGCAGAAGGAGCCGGGCACAGGGCTGACCTTGCTTTCTGATCACTCCCAGAAGAGCTCACCCCGCCCCAGAGGCCGGCGGGCGTCCCTTCTTTGTCCACAGCCAGACTGGCCCCGCCCCTACTGTGTCCCGCCTCCTCAAGCCCCTCTGCTCAGCAGGGTCACACAGGGGCGCGCTTCCGGCACCGGAGCCCCTAGGCCACGTGGCAGCAGCGGCTCAGGACGCTGGGGGCGACATTCCAGGATGCTACAGGGCACTGCTGGCTCACGTGGCTGCAGAGGGAGGGGGGATAGCGGGGGGGGGGTGTCCGATGTGTGCATACAGCCTGGCCTCCGGTCCTGAGGGCACCGTGGCCTCCAGGGCTTCGTCGGAACCTCCTTTCCCTGCCAAAGTCCTGTCTCTGGATGTCCCACTGGGGGAGCAGAGTTCAGTCCACCACAGTCCCCCCCCCCCAGCCCCTCAGAGTTCACGTTCTCCCTGCGGTCCTCCCCTCCCCCCAGGCCCAGGTGTGTTCACCTGTTGTCCCGTCAGCTCCGGAGTCTCATCGTCTGTTTCCTAAATATATTTGTATTTTCTTGAAAGGCAGAGAGTCAAAGCGGCACTCCTGCGGGATGCCGGCACGGCAGGTGGCGGCTGCAGCGGCTGCGCCACCTCGCCGGCCCCCAGGGTCTCATCATCAGAAGGTCATCTCCATCGGGCATGGGAGAGACTCAAGGCCTGAGTCAGCCCCACGGGGACTGGACACACAGAGGCTCCCGCTCCAGTCAGGACCCCGGGAGCCGGGCTGGGTTCCAAGCTCAGACCCAGAAGCGCACAGTGCACGTCTCCTGGCTCGGGAGGGACCCTCTCTGGTTCAGAGCTCCGTCTGCCAGGTCCCAGGGCAGCCGTGTCCCCCTCACTGCCCCCTGCTGCAGGGTGTCTTGCGGGGCCCTTGGCTGTGGGCACCCTCGAGGGCTCAGAAGCACCTCAGGGGCCCTGTGTCGCTTGTCCCAGTGAGGAGCTCGCTCTCAGAAGCCAGTGCCTCCGTGCGGTCCGGGAGGCGCGGCTGCCTCTCCCTCCGGGGCCCCTGCACTGCTCCAGCTCAGCCTGGCAGCGCCGGCCCCTCCATCCCCTGCGCGTGTGTCGGGCGAGATCCCTGGCGCTGCACTTCTGCCACGCGATGGGCTTTTCCCTTCCTGCCATCTGGATAGGCTGAGAAGTTTCCAGATCTTCCCGTTCCCGTTCAGTTCGTCTCTTTGCTGTGAGCAGGCGGGAGGCGCCAGCTGCCTCTTCCTCCAGCGCCTCTCTTGGAAGCCTGCTCAGCGGAGGGCCAGGTTTTGCGGCTCACGGGTCTGCCGCGTGCAGAACGCCCAACCCCATTCTCGGCGCGCGTGCCGAGGTCGGCTCTGCTCCGGTCTCCAACTGCGGTCCCCTTCAGGGTCCCTTTAGCAGTCCTAGGCCTAGCAGGTGCGCTGCAGCCTCCACCCACCCCTGCTCTGTGGCCGTATTTACTCCCACTTGCTACGTTGGCCTGCTGAATCAAGTTTCTGGAGATGAGATTCCCAGAGAGTCCCAGGCTGGAACCTCCGGCAGGCGTCGACGCCGCCATCTTTGGCACGGCCTCCGCCTCTCCAGGAAGCCACTGCCTTTGCAACCTGCTGGGCCAGGCTCACCGGTGTCCTCGCTCGGTGCGCGTCTCCAGGTCAGCATCGGAGTGCCTGGCTCTCTCGTGGGTGCGTGCGTGTCGGCCTCGAGCCCAGGGTCTCCCCCTCTTGGGCCCGTGAGCCCTGCCTTTGCTGTGGGCCTCCGTCGGCAGCCTCTGGGGACAGCACCGGGGCGCTGGACTTCCCCTGCGCTCAGACATCCGGTGGCTTCGTTGTCTGCCCAGAGGGGTCGCAGGGCTGAGTCGGGCGGGTTCCCAGTGGGGCTCCTGACAGCTGTCTCTGGCCCGTGAGCGCGTCTGAGGGCGTGGCATCCTTTGCGGATCTGGGACCCCATGAGGGATTCCCAGTGCTTTCTCAGGACCTTCTGCCCACCCCCTGCCTCCCTATACCTCTGTGTTTATGGGGCGTTGTGGGAACAGGGCTGCACTGTAATCAGACAGGACTCAGCCTGCAGGGAATGGGGCGGGGGCAGTGGGGGCTCCCGACCCCGGCCCTGCTGGGTCGCTGCCACTGCAGACCTGGGCTCACGAGTGCCGTGCTCGGAGAGCTCGCGCCCGTTGGTGCTGGCGGAATGAGAGCCGTGCCAGGGTGCGCCGTGCGGGGCCTCGCCAGGGCGGGTGGGGCCCAGGCCGTCGGCGACACAGGCACAGGTGAACAAGCCCCTGGCCCCTCTGCAGCCAACACTGAATTCCCTGCGGTTCCCTTGGCAGGTGGCGATCATCGCGGGGAACTTTGAGCTGGCCGAGTACATCAAGAACCACAAGGAGACGGATGTCGGTGAGTGGGCGCGGCGGGGTTGGCTTTGGTTTCGGAGAGGCTTGCCTGCCGTCCAGACACCTCCGAGTGCAGGGCAGAGCCTGATTTTAGGCAGCTCAGCGGAAGACACCGAGCTGGAGCCTCTTCCGTCGCTGGCCTCTGTGGAGCGGGGCTGAGGAGGAGCCGGGCGGCAGAGGGTGGGAGGCATGCACCTGCTTCTCGGCGCGGGTGGCGCCGTCCTGGCTGAGGGCGCCAGGGCTGCGCTTCTCGATTTAGGAGGGCGGGGAGGGGCACAGGAGAGGTCTGGTCCATGGCTCTGGAGGTTGCTTCCTGATCGATGCCTCTGATTCTCCCAGGCAGTGATAAAAATCGATGCTGGTCACTTACTCGCTTGTCCAGTTTTGAACAAGGGACGACCTCAGGAGCGACCCCAGTGTAACTGTGGTGACACTGCCGGGTCATCTGTGGAGCCAGGGCCCCACGCTGGTGGGAGTGCTGACCCCGGGGGAGGCTGTGCATGTGTGGGGGCCGGGGCACATCTCTGTGCCTTCTCCTCTATTTTGCTGGGAGCCCAAAACTTCTCTAGAAAAATAAAGTCTTAACAGAAGGGAGGGAGGGAGGGAGGGAGGAAGGGGAGGTGGGGAGAAAGATCCAGCAGGAAGTGAGCTGAGGTCGGCTCGTGGAAGTCGGCCATCGGTCCCCGTCTCTGAGTCAGGTTAATTTGCTGCCGACTTTGACGTGTTTCCCGGAAGACACCATAACCTGCACACGTCCTCTGGGTGACAAGATGGCAGATGAGTGTGGGAGAAGGGGGCCGCTGGGGTCCCCTGCCCCCCCTCGCCATGGTGCTGATGACCCTTCCCCTCCTTAGTGCCTCTTGTGCCAACCAGGAGGGTGGTCTCGGGGGTGCCTCCTGTCTCCCGTCGCCCTGCCACCAGCTGGGCCCAGCCCGGCACCCTGGACGCGCCCGCTGGCCTGCTCCCTCCGGCCCCGGGCCTGCACAGGACCTGCAGCGGGGAGCAGTCCCGTTGGAACAGCAGCGGTGAGCTTCCGAAGGTGGCACCGCACCGATGAAGGGGTGGGGTGGGGTCCCGTCACCTTGCTCCCCACCCGCCGTCGGTGTGCTTCGCTGTGGCGTGTCCTCCATGTCGCGTGTGTGCTGCCAGTGCCCAGCAGGGGACTCACGCAGGGATGCAGAGCAGGTGCCCGGCTTGCATCGTCCACCACCCCGCGCCGGGCATCAGGGGCCTCCCCGGGCCTTGCCCGATGCCGACGTGCCGCCCATGAGCCAGAGCACATCACAGGATTGCTCTGGGCACCAGACCTGTGCCACGGCTGCACCAGCTCCCCGTGTGCTGCTCCCAGAGATGTATGGGTTGACGTCTGCGAAGCGATTTGGAAAGTGATCCGGGCTCTCGGGGTGCCAGGGACCATCTCTCCGCCAGCTCCCTGGTGTGGGACAGTGGGACAAGTATGGTAGCGGAGCCTAAAAATCCCAGCTTCCGGATCAGGAATGAGGACACAGGTCCCACTCCACACCACAGCTGCGAGGGTTGTCAGTGGCCTCTGTGTGTGACGGGGACAGGCTCTGGGGTGGCCTCCTTGGGGTCATGACGTAGATGCTACGACGGGCCAGGGCCCGTGCAGCCAGCTCCCTGAGTGGCACTGCTGGGCATGGGGACGTGTGACCCCTGCCCTGACCCCTGACTGTGGCCCTCCCCTCCCAGCCGCCGCCTCTCCTGCCCACGGCCAGCACGGCCACACTCGTCCTTGGGCCCGGAGCTGCTTCCCCGCGCTGGCGAGGCACACGCTCGCCCATTCTCGTCTGTGGCAGAGTTGGGCACCGTCTGCGACACGTGCTTTCTTTGCCAAGTGGGTTTTCATGATCCTGGTGAGGGTATTGATGATTGACAGTAGCCTGGTGGGTGGGTCCGGTCCGATGCCCCCTCCCCGTCACCGTCAGTTACTTAGTCTGTCACCAGTGTCCCCAGCTCAGGGCCATCTGTGTTGCATTTGGGGTCTCCAGTTTGGTGCCCTTGAGAACCCCAGGGCTGCAGGGAGGTGGGGAAGGCTGTTCCTGTCACCGGCGGCCACGGAGGCCACGGCTGCTGTGGCTTTGGGCTCTCCCTGGCGGCGAAGGGCAGGAAGGGCTTGGAGAAGCCACACTCCCCAGGGCTCCCCTCTATGTCACCAAAGGAGAAGAAAACCCATGAGAAGGAGCTCTGTCTCTCGGGCCTCGTGTGTGCAAAGCAGCAGACCCGCGTTAGCAGACCCGGTGTTTGAACGGGGTGGCGTTGGTGTTTCCCAGAGTGACGAGGGGCGAGGGCAGGAGCTGGGGGGCCTCTCTGGGCTCCGACATCAGTGGCTGTGTTTGCGGGTCCCAGACCAGCAGCCCCTGGGCCAGATGGGGACCCAGTGCTGTGTTAACTCCTCCCCCAGGGTGGAGCCCGGAGGCTCCTTTCGTGCCCTGTTCTCCACCGCCGAACCCCTGAGGCTGTGTGGCGGGGACCTCCCGAGTCTCTGTGTCTGTCCATGCGGGTTCTGCACCTCCTGCACACTGCCTGCAGCCGGCCCTGTGAGAAACCCACTGATTCTAGAGAGAACAGCCGTGGGGAAGAGTGGACATGAGAGGGCCTGCTGCCCAGCTGGACCCGCACAACATCGCATCCGTCCAGCTTCCTGCTGTCTGTGTTTCTGGGAGCACCTGGACGCGACCCAGCACCTGTGGAGCTGGGCTCTGCCAGAAGCAGACGGGGAAGTGAGCAGGTGGGGGTGGTGGAGGTGATGTTGGGCGTTGGGGAGGGGCAGGGCGCCGCACAGCCGTGCAGGGGCAGTGAGATGCAGGGCCTGGAGAGAGACCTGGGCTTGCTGATGACCCGTGGGAAGCCGATTCTGTGTTTACCCCAGGTCAAGTCCCTGCCTGGCTCAGGTCTGCTGTGTCCTCCCACTGGGGAACTGCAAGTGCCCCCGGGGACTAAGCAGTACAGGTGTGTGGATACGCGAGTGCCCGGGCGACCCGGGCAGCGCACTGGGCCCCGACGGCTGGATCCAGCAGCAAGGCCTGGGCTCTGGGCCCCACAGATGTGCGCGCCGCCCTGGGTGATCTCTGCGGCCCCCAGCGGCCTCTCCCCGGGATGCACGTCTTGCTGGGAGATGGCGCTGGCGCTGCCTGTCTGGTCTCCGTCCAGGGCCTGGGGATGTGTCATGCGGAATCACTTGCGTTTGCCTCCACGTTCACGTCTACTTGTCAAAGAGGAATAAATGTCGTCCTTGACTTTCTCGCCCGCTGTGCGAGAAACGCTTGTTCCAGAGAGCTGTGAGGCAGGGAGCCCTCACAGGTGAGGGACAGTGACCGGGAGGCGGGAGGCAGAGGCCCCTCTGCGGGTCACCTGGCTGTCGCCTAGAACCCAGCCATCTGCCCTGGTCGTCTGCCAGCGTGGAAAGCCTCAGGCACAGGCCCCTGGTCCTCACAGGGAAGCCTGCCCGTGCCGCCCCAGAGCCGCCTCCTGTCTCCGAGTGCAAAAGCCCCACTGCTGGCCCCGGCTCTCTACATGTGGGCACCGCCTTCCCGTGACACCTCGGCCCCCGATGTCTCCTGGGAGACCCATGCGGATTTGGGATCACATGTGCATCCCAAGCCCTTGGGAGGGGTGACCTCTCCCCTCCCCTGTGTCTAGAAACAGGCTAGGCAGGGCTGCAGACGCCGGCAGCTGCTCAAAAAACAGGCTCTGCCATCCACGTGGCCTCCCCCAATTCCTACAGCCCTCCCACTCCTCCCCCTGCAGCCCCCACTCCTCACCCCCACCCCTGCAGCCCCCCACTCCAACCCCCACTCCTGCAGCCCCCCACCCCCTGGCCCCCCGCCCCTGACCTGTCCCCAGGGGCCATCTTCAGAGGCCAAGGGAGGCCTGGGTGGGCGTGGGCCGTGTGGGTACAGTGGTGCTGGGCCTGCCTCCAAGTCCTTCAGGCCTGGGTCACATGGTGAGTGGCCGGCTCACTTCCTGTCTCTGGTTTCGGGCTCAGCCCCTCCTCCCCTCCGTGACCCTGGAGGTTGCTGTCCTGCGTCTGTCTGTCAGGACTTTCTTCACCTCAATCTGCACAGCTCATTGGCCGCAAGGTAGGGAGGGGTGGGGCCCGGGTTTGCACTTTGCAGTGCTAAGCACGGCTGGACTTCAAAGCTGTGCCCCAGCTCAGGAGAAATGCGGGATGACCCGGGAGGCTGGCCCCCTTCTGGGACAGTGAAGGGGGCGGTTTGAGAGACCCCAACCCTACCTGTTCCTGCATGGGATAGGGGCACGTTTCTGACCCCCAGGTTCCAACATGGGGGTGAGCCTGGATTGATTTCGAAGCTCCCAAGTGGGTGAATTAAAATACCCCGGGTTCCTGCCTGGGCCGGCTAATGGGATGCCTTTTTGTCGAAAGTGCCTTTGAGATACTAACCCACGTGGGCTGTGGAGCCTGGAATCCTTCGCTTTCCAGACACCGGGGAAATCCACGCGCTCAGCAGACCAGGACATGGCTGTAGGGGGACGGACGGTGACCTCGGTGAAACCCAGCTACTGGCCGAGCGGGCGAGCAGAGGGCAGTGGGATCCAGGCATCGCCTGGAGACAGCTGTGTCTTTTTGAAAGCGAGAGTGCGTCTGGTGGCAAAGCATTCGGTTCACACGCCAGCCGGCGTGCATGCCGCAATGTCCAATTCTTTTTTCCTAGCCCCCTTTCTCTTTAAAAAAGCAAGCGTGACCTCTGTCCAGTGATCTGGTCTGCCGGCTGGAGGAGAGTGCTGGTTTGAAGGCGACCGTGGACGCCAGAGTTAATCCCTGTGTGTTGTCAGCCAGCGGTGAGCGCCGGCCGGGTCCACGTGCCCAGCCGCAACGCTTCAGCCAGAGCGCATGCAATGGCTTCTGTGGGATGGAGGTCCCCGGGGGCCGGGCTGCTGGGGAGCCGGTGAGCTTTGCCTGGGACGAGCCGTCGGCCACAGCCGCGGTTCCCCTTGCTTTCGCCTGGCGTTCCAGGGAGATGC